CCTAATAAACCCTAATAAACCCTAATAAACCTAACTAATAAACCCTAAAAACCCTAAAACCCTAATAAACCCTAATAAACCCTAAAAATACTACACGGGTAGGTACTGTAAATACATCGGTGTTTTATCTTGGAATTTCTCCAAGCTGATCCTGCGACAATCGCCCGGTGTGCGACTCGTCCTTATCTCAACACTTCCACAAGGTTCCGCCTGGTGTGTCCGCCCGACCGGCGTGATGCAACTAGCAGGGGTCTGTAACAGCTATGTAGCCTTGCCGGTAGCACCCCTATATATGTTATCATCCCCTGCTTACTGCCTTTGACCTTTCATATCTCGCACTCCTCTCTTAGTGTTGCCCTGTTCAAACCAGTGTCAACATGCCTCCCCCACCCCCCAGTGTGCCTGAGGGCTGGAAAGCCGAATTCGACAATCGATATCAAGAGTGGTAAGCATACACCGCTCTTCGTCCTTGCCTGCTGTCCTTTCCTCTTTGTGCGGACGCGACTGATGGCCCTACGGCTAATCTGTAGGTACTATGTCAATCTTCATACCGGACAGTCACACTGGGAACGACCAGACCGGCCAGCCCAGCCTGGTGGACCGATTCGGCCTCCCGACGGCCCTCCGCCCAGTCGCGAGGCTACCACGCACGATCGATTGGGCAGCCAACAAGATCCGGATGCACGAGACCATGACCTACCGGAAGTGTACACCCCACAGCCTCCATCGCAGTCCGCCTACGCACCGAACCTACCCCAAGGATACCATGGCTACCCGCAGCCACATGGCTATAACTACAATTCCACTTATCCCCCGCCCGCTGTATATCTGAATCAATATCCCTACCCGTACCCCAGTGCCTATGATCCATACCAGACGCCCCATAATCAGAAGCAGAAGAAAGAATTGAGGAAAAAGATAGTTGCAGGTGTTCTAGCAGTGGGCGGATGAGTACTCGGCGGAACTCTGCTTGGGGAGACCATCTAAGTGTGCGAGGATGATTTTGCCGATCCGCGACCACTCCCAGACCCGGAGTGTGATGGGTTTAATGGGGAGCTTGGTCCGTCTTCGTGCTTGAGCGGTGACGAGAAGGCTGGTAATAATGACAGTATGCCTTGTGAGACATGTTCATGTCATGACAATATGATGCGGCAAGTGATGGTTTTGTGTTTGTACTGAGTGGTCGAAGAATATTTCGGTTTCTTCTTTTTATCTTACGGCTTCTTATATCTTTGTTTATGACGTGCATATAGATAGTGAGAATTGCAACAGTATATTTTATACTACAGAACTCCAATACCGAGCTTCAGTCTGGATCGTTAAACTACTGAAACACTCTGTGATACTTGTTGAGTCTATCACATTCATCTCGTATCTAGTTTCCCTGATGGGGGCGGGAGCTAGTAAGTAGTATTGGCTTATCTCTCCCAATGTAAACCTCCACACTCCAGTCGAATTCTTCACACCACACTCTGCACAAGTAGCTGAGTACTGACCAATCCCTCCCTCTCGCCTGCACCGACCCAATACAACCTTCTTGGCGCTGGCGCACTCTCATTAAATGCCCACAGCTGCTCCCCATTCAACGTCAAGTACCCATCATCCGAGAGCTCCCACCCCGTGACAGTGTCAATGGCCACAGGCTCCGACCCGATCTGGATGATCCAAGCGATTGAGGTTTCATCGGCCACCACGGTGAGTGCCTGATGCTTGGAGCCCCAGCTGAGTGTGCCGCCTGTGTAGGGGGACACTAGAAATCCCCGGTTGAAAAAGAATTAGCGGGTGTACATAGTAGGTGGGCCGTACGTATAGGGTGTATGAGGAACATGTAAAAGCTTACGTGCTAATGTGGTGGTGGTCTCGGCGGCGCTGTCGTAGATGCCCCAGCCATCGGTAGTCAGTGCTGTATTGTCGAGGGTGGAGATCAGGGTAAAGTTGGAGGGGAAGGAGGTGGTGGATGCAGCCGAGGCAATAATGCCAGTCATGGCTAGGAGGGATTGGATGTATCTCATTTTGTGACTTGAAGGATGATGTTCGACTGTGAGGACAGTGTCTTGATGGTAGTTGTGGAATGCTATGCTGAGGAGAAGAAGAGGCCCTTTATATATATATCTCTCTGACAAACTTCAATCTGTATTGTCGACTTCCCCATGGATAAAAATAGAGTGCTCTGAAATGTAAGGCCTACCACCAGCCCATGCGGTGTCTTACTTGACTGCCGATCCGGGACGCCTAAGCTGACTGCTGATCTTTCGATACTTGCAGTGGATTATCGTAATCCGGCGCACCCGGTCGGAATGGATCATGGAAGGACTTGAACCTACTTACACTTGCGAAGTAACGAGTTGTGTTATATCTTCAATACTACAGTTCGTATACTTTGGCGGAGTTTTAGATATATAGTGTGGGGTGGGAGAATGACACAGGCGCCCGAGTAATGATTTTCTTTCCGTCCGAAGTGGACCTAGGTATGTGCCCCGTACCTATTTTAGGTTTCCAAGAAATTCAAGCAATCGGGCCGAAGGGATTCATTGGGCCGTGGCCAACCTAACTGAATAAGGCGGCGTGGCGACTACTAGTACCTACCCAGTCAGCTAATTCCTGCCCGCAAGAACTGTCAGGTCAACTGCTGATAGGTTGATCAGGCCGGGGACATAACGTATTTCACGGGTCGACCGACCGCACGGGTCATCCGACCGCCGCCCCGCTTTTCGACCACGCTCTACAACTTGAAGCCATTCGCAACAACGCAAAATTCATTATTTCTAATTTTCTTAGTGTTAACAACGTATAAAACATTGAGCTCTTGTATAGCCCTGAATATGACAGAAAGAACACGTTAATGGAGCTCGTCTTGGCGTATCTAAAGTTAAAGATGTAGGACCTGTAGAGAGTCCTACCTCTACATTCAAATAAGTATTTCTCATTACTACAAGGTCTATATCCTCTTGTATCGTAAGGCTGCCCGTAGAAGTCATCTATCACTTAAAACATGCCTTCTTCTTCTTCTCTTTTTCATTTACAGCATGGGGTTCATGGTTTTCAAGTACCAGTTGCGCACAGTTATATAGAGAGATCTGGGCGCCTTTAATAATTTGCTGCAGGGCATATTTTAAAGACATAAAAAGACTCCGCGATCCTCTTTTTAAAAGCTTTTTAAGCGACTCTGCCTGTCTCTGCAATTGCTTAACCATATATGACATTACAAGCGCGGAGGAGGTCACAGACTGCCCCCTACGGCTTGGGGAGGATATCAGCATACACAATATAATATTAAGCTTTTCAAGGACTCTTTCAGGGCAAGATAAGTATATTCCAGCTGCAGCGAAACCGCTTTGAATATTCTGAGGCTTAAAGACCTCTCAGTGAGCGGTGGGATACTTAGATAAGAAGTCAAGCTTGTCAATATGATTGTCAAACCCTAGGATCGCTTCTCCCTGTTCCTGTTAGCTTAGCTCCCGTTTCCGATACGTACCTTGTGAACTGAATCAAAGGTAGTCAGGTTGTTGACTATCTAAAGGTGACTTGATCTTGAACAGAAGAAGAGAAATAAGGCCAGATAGTGCCGCGCAGCTATCCGTAAGTAAGTACAGATAAGTATTGTTACTAAGCTTTACCAAAACATATAGTTACTTAAAGACAATTGGATTAAGTATAAAGAACAGAACTAGCTAAGTATATGAAAGAGCGTCTTTATATCCTATTCTTTATATACTATTTCATATATCATTCAGGATAGATTGAGGGTTAATCTAATCATGTTTCTGGATTCTATATACTATATTATATATTCTTAATAGTAGATTTGATAGTAAATAGTCACGTAACACAGCATTGCCTCAGATATTATCCTAACCAGGATCTTACTTAATAAGAGTTACTGACTGCCTGAGTCCTTTCTAGTTGTTATCTTTCTGCCTAATGAGTCTGCTTTTGCTAGTAATCTGGCTAATAGGGGTCTGTAACATTACTCCCCCTTCTTCAAGGTTTCTTATTTTTAAGAAACATAAAGATACGTGTTCCTCCTGTGTTAGTTAAGTTTTCTTAATTTCTTTTTTTTTATAATGATTTATCATATCTTATTATTATATTAATTGTAATCAGATAAAGGAGTGTATCTGTCAGTTTAATAAGATTTATAATAATAATTTTATTACTGAAAGTTCCTGCGAACATTATTTTCTAAGGAACATTTCTTATATTATGGATTTAAAAAGCTGAAATTGTACTGCCTGCACTCGTCATGGTTAAAAATATAAAAAATAATTTTACAGTGATAAAGAGTAAAATGAATTTAAATATAATTAATCAGATATGTAAAATGAACTTGCTAAGATTCTTGCTGAACAGGCCTGTATTGCTGCTAAAGTGGCTTACTTGTTCAAGCAACAGCAGTTCCTAAAAGATCATGGTAAGTAGATGTTGGATCATGACTTGACTGTGTTGGAGCGGCTGGATGAGGAGGATCCCTCAAGTGCTGAGGATCTCTGAGAGCTAGAGTGTCTGGCTGATGAACACAATGCTGCTCAACTTACTGCTGTGTCAGACACTCCTAGTCTGACTTAGTTGGTTGGTTCCCCTTCTTTCTGGGCGAACTTTGACCTGTCTGTTGGTGGTACTGTTCCACAAGCTGGTAACAGTCCATCAAATTCTTGATAGGTTCTCATATATTTTCTGAGATATCATACTCTACTTATTTTACCAGATACTTGTCAAACCCTAGGATCGCTTCTCCCTGTTCCTGTTAGCTTAGCTCCGTTCCGATACGTACCTTGTGAACCGAATCAAAGGTAGTCAGGTTGATGACTATCTAAAGATGACTTGATCTGAACAGAAGAAGAGAAGTAAGGCTAGATAATGCCGTGCAGCTATCTGTAAGTAAGTGCGGACGAGTGTTGTTGCTAAGCTTTACCAAAACATATGGTTACTTAAAGATAATTAGATTGAGTATGAAAAATAAAACTAGCTAAGTATATGAAAGAGCGTTCTTATATCCTATTCTTTATATATCATTTTATATACCATTCAGGGTAGATTAAGGATCGATTTAATCATATTCCTGGATTCTGTATACTATATTGTATATTCTTGATAATAGATTTGATGGTAAATAGTCACATGACACAGTGTTACCTTGAGTGTTATCCTAATCAAGATCTTACTTAATAAGAATTACTGGCTGTCTGAGTTCTTCCTGGTTGTTATCTTTCTGCCTGATGAGTCTGTTTCTGTTAGTAATCTGGTTAACAGGGATCTGTAACATTACTCCCTCTTTTTCAAGGTTTCTTGTTCTTAAGAAATATAAAGATGCGTGTCTCTCTTGTATCGGTTAAGTTTTCTTAATTTCTTTTTTTTTTATAATGGTTTATCATATCTTGTCATTGCGCTAATCACAATTAAATAAAGAAGTATATTTATTAGTCTAATAAAATTCATGATAATGATTTTATCACTAAAAGTTTCTGCAAACATTATTTCCTGAGAAATATTTTTTATATTATAGATTTAAAAAACTGAAATTGTGCTATCTACACTTATTATGGTTAAAAATATGAAAAACGATTTCACAGTGATAGGGAGTGGAATAAATTAAAATATAATTAATCAGATATACAAAACAAACTTACTGAGACTCTTACTAAACAGGCCCGTATTGCTGCCAAAGTGGCTCGCTTGTTCAAGCAACAGCAGTTTCTAAAAGATTGTGGTGAGTGGATGTTGGATCACGACTTAACTGTATTAGAGCGGCTGGATGAGGAGGATTCTTCAAGCGCTGAGGATCTCTGGGAGCTAGAGTGTCTGGCTGATAAACATGATGCTGCTTATCTTGCCGCTGTATCAGACACTTCTAGTCTGACTCAGTTGGTTGGTTCTCCTTCTTTCTGGGCGAACTTTGACCTGTCTGTTGGTAGTACTGTTTCACAAGCTGGTAACAGCCTGTCAAATTCTTGATAGATTCCCACGTGTTTTCTGTGGTATCATACTCTACCTATTTTACCAGATACTTTGACCTGCCGCTAATCTTCTTGTGGTCTAGGATCTTTTTAACTTTGTATTCTTTCTCTGTGTTGTTGTTAATCTTCATATTTTTTGTGATTCTAGCGTTCTTTGGTGCGGGTTCCAACAATGAGATATGAAACACTGGGTGAATTCTGTTTATTGATTTTAGTAATTTTAACTTGTAGTTGACTGGTCTCTTCTTGTCTTCGATGATAAATGGTCCTAGCTTGTGATGGTTAAGCTTCTAACTTGGTTATTTTATCTTGATATTTCTGCGGAGTAGGAACACCTTCTTTTTCTTTTTAAGATCAGGTTTTCTTTTATATTTATGATTGTAATATATTTTATTATATAAGTTCATGAACTCGATGTCTCAGGATAATTATAAATATATATTTTCTATAAATATAATAATATTCTTAGCTATATTAGTAACTTGCTGTCTTTTTAATAGTGTTTTCAGAAACCTCGGGTGATATCTGTAATTAGTGTAGAATAGTGAGACTTTAATGATTAAGTAACTGATATTATTATATAAGAACTGTACTATTAGTAATAAGTTTATCTAATTATTTTACTAGTAGTTTATGTAGTGTTTTAGATATTGCTTAATTATCTGGTTAATCCTTTCTATTTGTCTATTTATCTGCGGATGGTAAGTTATTATTATTTATTCTTTTATTTTTATAAGATCTGCGAGTGATCTCTAGAACTTTAAGATAAATAACTTGTCTTGATCTAATATGATATACTTTAGTATTCTATAGTATATAATAATATTTTTTAAAAATAGTTCTACTATCTATATTACTATTATTATTATCTGACTTAGTACAAGATGGATATATTTAATAAGATGATTAGTGATGACTATGATAGTATTAAATCTTTCTAATTCTAGTAATAGATTAATAAAGTTAATTATTATTTATTTCTATGGCTGTTGTGGTGCTTTCTGTATTTATATTTATCTATAGGATTAATATCTTGTAAACTTATTTCTAATATAAGTCTTATATTGTCTAACATAATTATATACTTTTTATCTGAGGTTCGGAATGTAATAATTCTTTATAATTAGTTTAGTTATCTTCTCTACTTCTAG